AATAATTTATTTTGACTTGAACTAGTAATCTTCAGATTATCAGGTTCTCGGGTAAACCGCGTTACCGGTTAGTCCACCCCCTTCCAGTTTTAAAATCCCTTGCAAGACTAACTTTTAGTGATTAGAAGAAAACTGGCTTCAGATCTGAAATTTACCTATACTTAATCATTCTCAGCCGATTTGGAATGGAGTAGGGGAGCGCCCGTTAAAAACTCGCCACCGGCTCCTAAAAGCTAAGCGACGGCTCTGCCGGCAAAAACTGAATTTCTTAAAGAAAGATTGCAAACCATTGGAGAAAACTAGTAGGCTGGGGATATACACAAATTCTATGCAGACATTAGGAAAGAAAGATTAGGATATAAAAATAAGAAATGCGCAAAATATTGAGCATTGTGAAAGGACATTTCATTAGTTTATCAAGTAAGAGGAATCCAAGAACCACCATTCAAAAATAATTGAACCACTGAGGATCTTGACACAGAAACGATGAAAAATTAGATAAACTGGATATGGATATAGCTATCTAATGCCTTAATACAAGAAAAGCCAAAGGGATGGACAATCTACTATCAAAGTTATTTAACGGTCAGAAAGAAGACTTAAGAGCCATACTGTAACAACTAATATACAAAATATGGGAGCAGGAAAGGATACGAGAGGCTTGAAACACTGAAAGGGAGACTCCATGTATGAGTATAGTAATATCAGAGGTATAATACTTCTTCCTATTACCTACAAGATAATGACTGATCTCGTACTAAACCTGATGTGTTTGTACAATGCCGGCCTTAGACATTCGGCGCCCCCGGCCACGACGTCATCTACCCCCCTAAAAAAAATCTATTTATTTCTGCTTCATATTATGTAATATTTGAATATTATTTCATTCAACATTTCTCTAATACAGTTGCTTTATTGATATGCTAAAATTTATTGATTTTCAACAAGATCACCTCTGAAGATCGGCTGGCGCCCCTAACAGAAGCCCCTCCAGGTCGGCGCCCCTAACGGGTGCCCCTCCAGGTCGGCGCCCCTGATGGTTTCCCCCTAGGTCGGCGCCCCGGAGCAATTGCCACGGTTGCCCCACCCTAAGACTGGAACTCTATCTATATTACGAAAACATAATAGGTGACTACCAAGGCGGATTCAGAAGAGGAAGGAGCCTGCAAGACCAGATCTGCATGTCCTGTTTGTCGATTTCAAAGCAGCTAATGATTCTGCGGAAAGAAACTGTTTTTGGAAGATAATGGTTAAACTGATAGTTCTCGGAAATTTGGAAAGATGGTGAAGGTTTGTACATATATTGCATGACCAGTCCTAATACAAGGAAAAGTATTTAAAACCTTAAAACTGATTTGCGGCAGGGAGACAGACTCTCGCTAATGTTGTTCAACTTAGCTAAGGAGAAGGTGATCATAACATCAAATGAAAATGGAGGGTTGCACGTCGGAATGTATAATATAGCAAATCGGCCAACAAGTAAATTTACATAACACAAACAAACAAAATACATGATGATATGCCGAAAATTTCATCCCAACAACAGAATTTCGTAGAAGGAAAATCGTTTCCGAGGGTAGACAAATTCAATTACCTCAGTTCAATACTAATCTCAATAAATGGTGAACGGTTTGAAATAGCCCGATAGAGCTTCTTTTTTTTTTCAACCACAAATTAACGGTGTAAAATGTTATGGAAAAGCCAGTTTTGAAACGTATGCAAAATCTGGACACAAACCAAGACCGTAGAAAAAATTATTAAAAGATTTGAGAGAAAAATCTTTCACACGATAATTGGAGTGATCTATGATCAGAGTAATAACGCATGGGGTTTCAATGACCAATGAAATACAGCTCACAGAAACTGATCAATCAATATCTTATGATATGAAAGCAAGAAGTCTAAGAATAGCGGGGTATGTTGCTCGGAGCAGTCTATTAAATAGCCTAAAAACAACAATGAATGCCTCAATAGTAGGAAAGAGACGAAACGGAAGGCCAACAACTAGATACACAGATAGAATTAACAAAGATACTTTAGAGTTGCATGTAGAAAACTGGATAGAAATAGTCCAAGATATGGCATAGGTGGGGAAAGCTGCTTATGACAACAAAAAAGATCCGTAAAGAAGAGAGAGAAACACTTTATTTTCATAAAATATAATATATAAAGGATTGCCGCCCAATTATATTGGGTTGCTATATACACAGCATACTCTTCTATCCTTAGGACAATATATGAACTTATATATAAATACACAGAAGTATTAGTTAATATTAGTAAAATCGATATATATATATATATATATATATATATATATATATATATATATATACATTTTAATTTTTTTTTCCATTTTTTTTTTTTTTTTCCTTTTTCCTTCCTTTCATTGTTCATGATTTTTTTTTTTTTAACATTTAGTTTCCCTTTCTCTCACTTCTCTTTCTTTATCTCTATTGTTTTCAATTATTCATTAAATAAATACATAAATTAAAACTCTCAGGCTAGCCATGCACGTGGTGGTGAACGATTCCCAGGGAGTCGAGGACTATATTTTCAGCCAACCTCGCTACGTCCTTAATGTCGACACCTAGTTCCTCGAGGAAGCTCCTTGTTCTTTTTGGGATAGTCCCGCGAGACCCAAACCAGAGGCCTCTCACGGTGAATTCTCTCTTTCCGAAGGTCTCGCGGAATTTATCTTTTAGGAAAGGGATACATTTATCGTACGTGTTCTTCTTTTCCCTTTCCACTTCACCCGCCTGATCGAGGTCATTACTCTCAAAGCGGACAGTTGGATCCAAAATCAGCTCTGTCCTTCCTGTCTTGGGAAATGCGACGATATCCGCGTATCTCGTAGAGCCTTCACTATCGATGCAACATACCTCGTCAAAGCAGGTGAATTTCCTTTCCCTGAGGAGCCTCATCAACTCGAACTTGACCCGGTGGTGATGACGTGTTATGAGGAGGGAGTTGTTGGGGCATTTTCCCAGCACATGGGCTGGTGTTTCAGACTCTCTGCCGCATTTACGGCAGAGGGACCCAATTTCTCCGACCTGTCCGCTGACTCCTGGGACTCCACGCAGGGGTGCATAATTAATGTTTAGTTTTAGGGCATTTCGTCCATTCAGACCCAGAAAGTACTTGCTTTTCGTAGATGTATCTATTCGCTTTCGGGGTCTCTTTAAAATGGCGAACACCAATACCCTGCCACCTGCAGTTGGCCCATTCCTCAAATGCATTTTCTCGTAGCGACTGCCGTAGAGCTTTCACTTTTCGATGACCCTGATTAACACCCAATCTCTCGGCACATTCAGTAATTTCAGCCGAATAATCGAAGGTAGACTGAAAAAGGGCATCTGGTACATTGGACAGTCGCTGAGCAATGGACTAATGTTGAAGAGGAGCCTCCCATTGGCAGCGGACTAATCCCAATCCTCGGTATCTCCTGGGGGCATACAAAATCGCTGTGGAAGTATTCGCAGGGAGTCCAATAATGGCCTTTACTTTCCTGCGAATCATAATGTCAATGCCCTCCAGGATAGCAGGACGCAGCTTTGTTAGGGGCGCAGTTTGTAGAGGGTAAGTGTTACCCGGGAACAGATATTGATTGACAATGTTGAGTTTCTGCTCAGGTTTGAGTAAGCAAGAGGTTACCAGCTTGTTTAAATTATCATTCAATTTAGTCACCGAATTGTAGCTCTCCCGAGAATGTGCATCCTAAATACTTAATCGTATCTCCATTCCTCAATGTTTGGATGTATTCACAATTCTCAAGGGAGAGCACCGTAGTTTCGAGCTCCCCTTTATTTACAACGATGCCCATACTTTTTTCAGGATTTATAGCCAGACCAATTTCCAAAAACAAAAATTGTATTTGTTGTGCTTCAACCTGACAAACCGAAGATTACGAGTTCTATTCCCGGTGCCACAGAGATTTTTAACTCTGGTATTCATCTTCCCCCATCTCCTCTGGCCCGAGAAAAACCGCATGTAAGCAAAATGCAGAAAAAGGAGAGAAGAAGAAATGTTAACACTTATATATCTTATGTGTCGATGATTATATGATTAAGACTCAAAATAACAGTTAATGACTACGCCAACTTTATACTTAATTCAATAGCACTATAAACAAAGCAAAAATGTGACGCCATTACCTGACTACGATTTTAATTATGTAATCATTAAATGAAGATCACTGTAATCGTAATCACATAATCATAGTTAATGTAATCGTAATCGCTGATTATGATAATGCCCATCTATGATAAAGATACATGTTAACTAGCTGGAAAATATGCATTGTAATTTACAAAGAAGGCATATTGGAATTCTTGAAACATATCGCTCAGATAACTCATAGAAACAAATACGGATTAATTCATTTTGTAGACAGATTCACCGAGAGTTTCTATGAATCATAAAAATTATAGAATAAAGAGGAATATAGATACCTGCTATAAAATTTTATTTTTTACATTATCTGCTAATATAAGTGAACATGAAGAGTATTTGTTATACAACTACCATAAACAACCATAATGGACTATGCGTTGGCCACTATTTAAGTATCTGCATTCAGCACCTCTGCCATCCTCATACTGTTGGGGTCTCTCTCTCTCTCTCTCTCTCTCTCTCTCTCTCTCTATATATATATATATATATATATATATATATATAGTATAGTATTAAATAAAGGGAAACACATTAGCAGTTTATTTTTTATTTATTTTGTTGTTTGTTTTTTATTGATTAATATTCTGTCCAATGGACAATGGTTATAGTGCGGTAAGACTAAATTCACATTATATATATATAAAATATAAAATAGCAGTTTGTTTAAACATGTTTATTGAAATACATTAATAATTTAGAATAGCACATTTTATTTCCAAGATCATAATTCAGTTTTTTATAATGTAATTAAATTCTTAAATAAATAAATAACATATTTTAAAAAAAGAGTTTCATTCGCAATTCTAATTCTCATTCAATTTTTTTTTCATGGACAGTACTAATCCTTTTTTATTATAATCACTTTATTATTTAAATTAAAAATGAGATCAATAAAAATCTCAGAATTGACAAAATACAGAGTTAATTCTATATTTAATTAACTTATGTCCTATATTTAATTTGTTGTAAAAAGTCATTAAGTAACATTATATAAAATTAAATCTCTAATAGATTTTACCACTCCAAAATCAAGCCGTTGTTCACTTGGCTGATATTTCACAGAGCTTCTGTTCTTTCAATGCAGTTAATGATTTTTGCATTGATAAATATGATCGAAAATCACAAATTTCTACTTTATTCATTCATCAAATGAGTACTTAATGACTTTTTGCAATATACAAACGGTATATATGTTGACTAAAGAATGAAGAAATGAAAAATGTAAATATTTCAATGATGATTCATTGATCTCCGTTCAGCTGTCTTATTGGTCAACTATCGGTGGTCGTGGACCTGGCCTGATGAATCGGATGGGTGGTGGCGGAAGTAGTTGTTTGCATTCCTCCATTCTCTTTTTAACGATTTGGCATTCTTGGGCTAAATGAAAATTATTGTTTAAAAATAATAATTATTAACTTATATTGCAGCATCAATTGTAAAAATGTGGTCATATTTTGTTATTTATTATTATTAATATTATATATTATATATATTATATAGTTATTCAATTATTAATATGATTATGGTAAGGTATGGTATAAAGGAATTTAAATTATATAAACTATTATATTATAAATACTCTCGTGTAATGAGTGATTATCATGTGTAGTTACTTTATAAAATACTTGTAATGATTTCGAATTTCATTGTAATAATATTGTAAGTAAATTATGATTAGGTTAATAAATTTTTTTTCAGATTTAGGTGATATTCTCATCCTCATCCTGACATTTATTATTACAGTAAGGCTCTAAATCGTTATAGAGGATATATAATAGAGGAGTAAAAGGGGCTGAACTGTTTTGTGTTTGCATATTTATATAATGATTAATTAACCCACTAAAACTAATTGGCCCTTCAGGGACATTAATTGGAAATAATAAAATAAAGGGAAATTAACAAAATAAGCTGTGACGTCATTCACGAATATTCCTCCATCAAACTCTTCATTTTTCACTTCACAAGAAAAGCCAATTTGTCGATTATATTTATCGATAAAGTAACAATTGATTTCTTTATCTTTTGATACCTTGCATTATTTTATTTTCTTATTAATTTGGCATTTGATCACTTAGCAATATGCTGTGCGAATTTTTCGTACGGTCTTACTAGTTGGTATATACTTTTTTTGTTATTTTAAAAATACACTGTTTCATGTTACACGGTTTCGTAACATCCAGGCAAGGTTATCTATCATGCGAAATAGCGGAAGGTGTGAATGGTGCGAGTGGGTCACGGACCGGAAGTCACTTCACCTCGTCTTTCTTCAGTCAGGCTCAAGGCGCGTCACCATTAGTGACGGTTAAATGAAATACGCATGCTTCATTGACTATGTTTTAAAACAGACAGGAAACCATCGAGATGTCAGAGTAATCCTAACATCTAATACGTTAAAATACTAAAGCACTTTATTAATTTTAGTCGTTTTTTCATGTTATCGAGAAAGCGAAGGAAGAGGGAGAGGTTGGGGACTCCTACTGGCGCATTCTGTATTATTTATTAAGTGTTATTTTTTGTTGGTGTGCAGAAATGTTCAGAAGAGGGTGGGCATATTACAAGTTGGGGCATCAAAAGTTTTGAGAAAGATATTTTTGGTCATGAACTTTCCGAGAACCATATTTTTGGGTGGTTAAAATTTAGGATGGATTAAAACCAGTGATCGAAAGAAAACATGGAACAGATCACTACAAGTGTAATTGTAAATAAACTACAAGTGAATCGTTTCTGATGCAGATGACCGTCAGTTATTGACAACCTCGATTCCAGCGGTGCTGTTTCGAATCTGAACTGTTTATACCCTAAAATAACCACCCAGCACTTCGGAAATGACCTGATTGAGGGTAAAAAGAAAAAATTGGTTATTTTAGGAACACGTGAGGAATTAAAAAAAAAAGAATATAAAAAAAATGTTTGCATTACAATTTTTTGTGATAAAAGTTTATAAAATATAATATAATAGTGTCAACAATCAGTTTTTACTCTGATTTATGCAATTTGTTTTCTTACATTAAAAGATGTGCATACAAACAATGTACCAAGAACAAATTTCAGCTCAAAAACGATAATAGTTACCGTTTCTGAAATGATCAATTCGAGTTTTATAATTCTGCTTTTACAAGCACGATTTTAAAGAAGGGGAGCGTAATTAAATTTTTGGAAGGTGGGATCGTGCGCCATCGACCTTCATGAAGATAGGAGGGAGGGGAGGGGACCTCTGTAGGTACGCCCCTAATACTTCATCAAAATTAATGATTGGGTCAGAATTTCGAAGTTAGCTTCACTGATGATGAAAATTAAACCAACGAGTGAAAATAAATGTTTCTTTTAAAATTCGACGTTTACCTGACACTTCTCTTAACCTAACTTTGACACATTTCTTTACTCCCACAAAATAAATGAATGAGTAAAGAAAGAAGAAGAAGAAAAAAAGCAGTAAAGTAAATAAATACTTGAATTTATTTATTTCCAGAGTATATTACCATTCAGTATCAGATCGATACACCGATATATAGAAATTATTCCCAAGGGCCAACTAGCTTTTGACAATACTTAAAAAATATTTCACGTTGAAATAAAGAATAAAATTGGATATAAACTCGCAGAAAACAAAATATTATAAAATGGAGGGTAATGATTTCTTCTAAGGAAATGTTAATGAAATTGACGATCGGTAAATAACAAGTATTCGTAACTTCAAAATAAAATCAATATGATAAACGGATTAACTTAGCTGACTTAGGATTTACCACTACCAAGGGCTAAATAAATAGGTAAACTAATTGCATGCATTTGCAAAGAGTTCTAAGGATTTTTAAGAAGTAAAATTAAGTAATCTTTGTAAAAAACATATATGTATTGAAGAATTTGTTGATAGATAACATTAAAGTTTTGCAAACGCGGATAAGATTTGACAAAAGAAATAGTTTTATGCGGAGGAATAGGGAAGTTGCGATTTCGTATTCAGGGAAAGATTGAAGGAAAGAAATGGACAATACCGAGATTGAGATTTTCAGAGATCGGTTAAGAAAATAATCAAGGAAGAAATCGACAAAAACACTACTGATTTCTTAAATTACCAATTAACATTATGGGGATTAAGACTATTCCGCTGAGGATTAATTAAAAAAAATTGACTATCTATCCATATTAAATTAGCTGCGATTAAAGTGCAAATAATTTAATTATTGAGTTTAATAAATATTTTAACTAATTTTTTATTCACAAAAAATAAATCGTCGTTAGTAATTAACAACTATTAACTAGCCAGTTTCATAAAAATAGAATATAGAATAATAATAAAATTCAATAACTATTTTTCTAATAACATCGTAATCGTAAATAGTTGTTAAAAACAGTAAACAAATCACCATAACTGATCAATCAAGCTGATCCTCCAAATCTATCACCAAAACTTCTGCTTAGTGTAATGGCATCCCTAGTAGCCCTGGAGCCAGGGCCCAAAAATCGACCTGATCGCAGGCGAAGGTTTGATTGTAAATTACAAATGTGTATGTTATTCTGAGTAAAGAGAACCTTGTCTGCCGTTCCAGAGCCGCTGCTTTAAAAAATGGCGGCTGATTTAAAGAATATTAGGATAGTAATATGAGATTCAATACGGGAAATCTATTGCAAAAAATGTGGGAAAAGTTTTTATTTTTTTAACTTGTATATGTGGGTTCATACATGTAAGAAACAAAATTGCTAACGCGGGTTACCAAGGGAAAACTTTTTACAGCCAAAAAAGTCAGAATTTTTTGATATTTTTTCTCCTATAACTCCTAAATGTCAAAAAGCGTCAAAGAGAAAAATATACTTCTTACTAAATTAAAGAACGTTAAATGTTGCGTCGAACGAGTATATAAACTTTATAGTTTAATTACCTTTTAAGATATAAAACCACTGTCAACCAACGCTGATTTTTACCAAAGTTGTCAAAAACTGACACAAATTACTATAAATGGCCCTATAACTTGAAAATAAGTTCTCTAAGAGGAAAAACCCATAGAATCAAAGTTATAGAACATCAAATTTTGTGTCTTCTGAGTACCTACTAATTTAATGTAGTTCACTTACTCCGAACAAAATCGGTAATTTCCCGAAGGTTGGAAATTGAAAATGAAGGTAAACGTAATTTTCAATATTTTAACAGTATGGGTGTTTATTATACTTACTTATTTTTGTTTTGAGGCTGTTACGTGCTGTATAACCCTCTTTTTTACCTCTCAGCAGCGAAGGATTTTGATAAACGATTTGTCGAAAGATACCGAATTTCATAAAGGATTAACGAATCCCGATTCGAGATATACAATTGACCTTCAATGAAAATGTTAATACTCAACAGACGCAAAATTTGATGCTCTACAACTTTGATTCTATGAGTTTTTCCTCTTAGGGAACTCATTTCCAAGTTATAGGACCATTTATAGTAATTTGTGTCAGTTTTTGACAAATTTGGTAAAAATCAGCGTTGGTTGACCGTGGTTTTATATCTTAAAAGGTAATTAAACTATAAAGTTTATATACTCGTTCGACGCAACATTTAACGTTCTTTAATTTAGTTAGAAGTTCATTTTTCTCTTTGACGCAACATTTAGGAGTTATAGGTGAATAAATAAAAAAATATCGAAAAATTCTGACTTTTTTGGCTGTAAAAAGTTTTCCCTTGGTAACCCGCGTTAGCAATTTTGTTTCTTACATGTATGAACCCACATATACAAGTTAAAAAAATAAAAACTTTTCCCACATTTTTTGCAATAGATTTCCCGTATTGAATCTCATATTACTATCCTAATATTCTTTAAATCAGCCGCCATTTTTTAAAGCAGCGGCTCTGGAACAGCAGACAAGGTTCTTTTTACTCAGAATAATATACACTTTCGTAATTTACAATCAAACCTTCGCCTGCGATCAGGTCGATTTTTGGGCCCTGGCTCCAGGGTTATAGGACAAGCTTGCTGTGGTCCCATGTTGATTATGAACAATGGTTTTTGGATCCAGTAGGCAAACCGAATTGTAATGAGTTCTCATTTAATTATGAGTTTATTATGGTAATTGTGTGTATTTTTCAAAAGAGGTTCTTTGTTCTTTTAATAATATGTACATTAAATAGTAATTTTCTGAACATGAAAATAAATGGTCAACTGAAATTTAAAAAAAAAAACTTACTGTTTTTCCACGTATCCTCGGGACAATTCTGAAAACAATGAAAATTTGAGTTTAGTTATTCTAAAAGTAATGTTTTAGAAACAAATATGAAAATTAGCAATGAAAAATGTAAAATTTACCAAGAAAAGTTGTCTTGATAAGCAAAATGTTAATCTTTCTGGTATGGAACTGCATGACGATTCCTCTTCTACAGAAGATGAAGCAGAGAGTGAATCTTCTATTTCTTCAGCTGCGAAAACAATATTAGTTAGTATCATAGTGTTTCGTATAACTCCCTTTGTTAGAAGACAAATTCCCATACGCTATTTGAAGAAAATTAAAAAATACTATTTCAAAATTACTCCCCTCGGAGGTGGCCATTATTTGTTTTCCATACATACAATGTAGAAATGATACTTCGTTTCGAATATTTTAGACCTCTAGTCGAATGGTTATCAATAGAAAACTTACCTTCTTTGAAGCATGCATTCAAAGATTCTGATATAGCTTTCTCCCAAGAATCGCCAGCAACGGATTTCAGTTGTTCTTCTATTGCTTCTCTTTGCAGAACGCTGTCTTCCTTGTTCTAAAATATAATTATGATATTCACTCATGATGGCTTCTTTTTTTAAAAAATAGTTAACATGCATAAATATGATCCTGGTATAATACGTACAATGAATCCGGCGGATCTATACACACACTCCTCAACACACTGTGGAAAAATAAAAAATATTAATTCTATTCTGATGAATAGCTAAGAACTAAATTAAATAAGTTGTACTTACACTTCTCCTCTCACGGATAGATTTCTCTGAAACAGGCAGAAATATTCTTTTATTTATTTATTCTTCCTTTAGGACATAATTACCTTAGTACTTGATTTTATGTGTTATATAATAAGAGCTATTAGGAAGTGGAAGAAGTGTGTATACCGTGGATTTATTACAAAAAGTCATTGAGTAACATTTCATTAAATTAAATTACAAAGCACTTCAATGAATTTTCTCTCTAAGAAATCAGAACATTGTGCAGTTGTAATTATTTTTGATATGAAAAAGGTTTGTGTCATCTTCCTATGTTTGTAAATAACTAAATATGGTCGACATTTTTAAAAACGAACTTATAAGTTCAGCGCTATCAAAAATATATTTAGTGAATTTTTGCGATAAACTGACGATATATTTTATTTTATATTATAACTTAGGAGATCAAAATTAAATTTGTTCATTCTGACAATATTGATTTTTCGTTGGAATTAAAGTTATTTAATAAATTATTTTTTCGCAACAAGTCTGAAATGTTTTTGATCATATTACTTCTAATTACGGCATTATGGAGTTTTAAATCTGTTGTTAATTGCAAAATATGTATTATGTCCATATCCATATTCGTTCTGAATGAATATGTATTTTGTCTTTATCGGTATCCGCTCACATATTTCGTTTTGATTCGTTCAAAACCATGGACGAACCTTCATAGAACAATAATTTACGGTCCACAATGTCTTTACACGTATTATAACAAATATCGACAGAGTAACATACAAACAGAAATGATGGTTATATTCTGAGCTCTGAAACTCATGTAGATACAGAAAAGAAGGTTGATGAGTGCTCTTCTCCCTTAATCTATTAAACCAAAATTAGGGAGAAAACAATTATTGGTTTTATTGATCCTCATATCTGAGATACTATTTTTAGATACTTTTTTTTTAGATTTTAAGAAGAAACAAAATTATGAATTTATGTTGCTTAATTTCCCTTACCCTATCCAAAATATCTTCAACCTTTGATAACCACCATAACACCTATTTTATAAATCGAAATACAATTAACTACTTCTTTTCTTTGCTCAATATGCACATATACCTCTTGGCTTTTTCAACTTTTTCCTTACACTTTTCCGATGAACTTTATTTACATTCGACTAACGTATGTCATGGAGATATGGGTCTCTCCAATGGCCCTTGGGTGTCCCTCTACTTGTCTATCCGTCTGGTGTACCCTCACAAAGTTTTTTTGGAATCCAGTTACCTTCATTCTCATTAAATAACCAAAATATTTCAGTCTTTGGAATTTGCTGCTGGCCGAGATATTCAGGTCTTTGTATTTATTACACAGTACTCTATTTTTACCAAGCCAAGTTATTCCATCTTCACATATTGGTCCCAGGTTATTCTTTCTCAAACCGTTCCAATAAGTCACTTTCCTTTTTATTCATGATCCAGGTTTCGTTGGAATCGGTTGCCACGGATCTTAATAGTGTTTTTTATTTGCTGAACTTAGTGGTAATACTGGTCAGCCGACTCCTCAGTATCTTGGACATGCTGAAATACGCTGTTCCTCAACATTATCGATTTATTTATTTCTTTTTCGACCAGTTCATTAATTATATATATATAAAATACTGGAAGCTGTTTAATAATTCGAAACTGTGGTTTTCCATTATACAATTTCGTTTTGTGTGAGCTTGTTTCTTTCTTCTAAGAGCCATCAACTTACTTTTATCTTCAATGATTTCCAGCCATATTCTGCTTGCTTTGCTTTCACGCTTTCTAATATTTTTAGTGGTCAGAGACTGTCCAACAATAGCTACATCATGCATATACGCAAGAAGTCATCCTTATCATCTAATTAAATAAGTGAAAAAAAAATTAACATAGACACTCGCCTTAATATGTTTGTGCTTGCATATTCATGGAAACAATTTTTAAAATAGTTTTAGTGGTAAGATGTTGTATGGTCTTATTGTCTCTCTCCTTTTTAGCAGTATAATCATGGAGTTATATCAACAACGGAAAATACATATTTTGTTGAATTCCACCATTTAAAAATTTATTTATTAAATTATTAAAGAAATTATTGATTAAGGTAATAAGAAAAGCTGCCATATTCACCAGTGAGGACTGCAGAAGAAGGCGCACCATATTGCCTTATACAGGCCACAAGTTGCTTCCTCATGTGATCAGTTGGGTAGGGCTGGTCGCAACAGCTTGGTGGTTGCTAAAAAAGTACAGATATAAAATAAAAGTAAATTATTTGTTATTCATTTTATTGACCACTTTTTTTCAAGACTGCATGTTTGTTTGAAAGAAATTAATGTTAAGGTCGTTTTGGTGGATTCTTTTTCAGAAGTTTACAAAGCAAAACGCTCTTAATTTTTGCACCCGTATTAGCAAATATTATGTTGTTTTTCTTTAAACGAAAGTTACTCTTTAATAAGTGAAAGAAAATTAGTATAGACATCATTAACATATTTGTACTTGCAAATTAATGTAAATAATTTTTATAATAGTTTTAGCGGTAACGGGTTTGGAATTAATACAAACAGAATTTATCTGGGGGAATTTTGAACTTCAACTCGTAAACTTGAGTCAGTAATAATCATTGGTGTTAGTAATATGCGAGTTTTTTATTTATTTGTTAATGATTACTTAAATTTAACGCAAGTTTATGAAATTTTTTAAATTTTTAGTCATCAGAATTAAGTTTTGACTAAATATTTCGTCATTTACATTTTGATTATAAACGCAGAAATGTGTTTCGTGACTTCTATTCTAGCTGTTATTTCTTCTTGAATTTTCCTAAACTTGTTTTTGGCACGATATGTAGGTATATTATTATTAATTTATTTTTGTTTATGCTTACAAAGCCAAGAAACTCAATAGTATTCATTTTAATATCATATAACAGCCACATTACTGATAAAAATATTTCACAACTTCTAGATATATTTTTCCTTGATTTAAAGTCAGAGATTTGATAATTTTTAAAATTATTTTTGATATATTTTTCAGTTAAGAACTACCGCATACCGCTGTAGCTTAATAACAAATATACCTAATGAAATGCCATTGAAATTGATCCACATGTGTAAATAAAAAAACGTTTTAAGTTACAGTAAGTTCTTCATTAGTCTTTTATTACTATGGTCATTAGATAGCTCATGTAACTTTATTGTTTGTATTTGCTCATTAAATATCTTTATTATGTTGTATTTTTCCGAAAACTTTGTATTTTTAATTTATAGAAGATACAGTTTCTTTCAAGAACGACTGCCCTGTCCCATGTAGAGCGCGCATTTATCCAATGTGTTATTACATCATCATTTAGATGGAAATTGTAGACGAATTACTATAGAACTGTAATCGTAAGTATTGTCCACTAAAAAAACAACTTATGACAAATATTTTGTATACCGATGTCTTATTTGCAACCAAGGTGAAGGGAAATTTATTTATACTGTGCTCGCTTTAGACCTATCCTTCAAGAAAAAATCGTTGTCAGAAACGCAACCGTTTCATCACGAAGTGATACAATAGTTGTTGGTTTATTTTCTTATTAATGAGATTCAAAATTAAATCAGTTTAGCGATATTACCCATTCAAAAAAAAAAAAAAAAAAAAAAAAAACCTAATTCCAATGAAATAAAAAAAAAACAACGTTTTTGGAAAACAATTAAAATCACATTGGTGTATATCCTTTGAAGTTATTAATGGGTTTCCATGACTTGAAAACGTATAACTAAACATTTTCAATACAGAAAAGTACGAAAAGAATTACGAATGTATAAATTAACAAAATGTAAATAAATTAACAAAAGTAATACTAAATTTTATTTCTGTTTCCTGTTCTTCCCTACCTCACCTGTTAGGCTGTACGGGATTTTCCCGGGCCGGAGAGTGAGGGCGGGGAATTTAAAATCTCCTCTGGCACCGAGACGCGAACTACTTTTTCTTCAATCTCAAAAGTTGGTTATCTGGTTTCCGGGCAACTCGCGGTGCTGTGCACACATGCACACGTGCCATTCGGCCACCCCGCCCCCCTACTGCAATATACTATCATTAAAATTTATCTCTTAACTTTTATTCATTTATTATGGAAAAGAACAGGACATCTAGGTAAGGTTTCGTTCCACGAAGTGCCTCCAATATTCGTCCACCAGATCTGAGCATGATTTTCTTATATTTTCTATGTACAAATTGAGGAGGAATTATCAAATTTCACCGTAGTTTGGTTTTGTATTTTGATTAGTTTTAACAGTTCATTTTAAAACTGTATGCCACTTGCTTTTGTACTTCTTTAATAACAAGAATAGAACAATAGAGCAATAGACTTTTTAATTTATAAAACTAATTTTAGTTTAAAAGTATTTTAATATAATATATTAAGATTACCCTTGGCCATCCTGGGGGTGGCTTTGAGCAGTCCACGGAGTCCTTCGCCTTCACGGCCCCAAAAACCTGCAAATTAAAAAATATATATTTACATATATATATATATATATATATATATATATATTTCTATATATATATAAGAAATTTTAATACATTGGTTTGATAATAAGACTGAAAAGAATCTGTATATATTAAATTTAAATTATTATTCAATTGATATATATTTTTCTTCATTCTTTATTGAGATATATTATAATCTGTCACATTTAAGGACAATACTAATAGTCATATAAGAGTAGCTCATTCGTACTATGTATGATAAATAAACAGTAAAATAATTGTAATAAAAGTAAATGTATATAAACTAAACTAAACAAAAAGAAATTATAAAAATCAAAAATAAGTACACGATTGATATTAATGATAAACATCAAAATCGTATAGATGGTAAATGATATTATTGGAACTCAGTTTACTTGTGATGGGTGTGTGTTTCTATTGATGAGTTGCCTTCACGTAATAACAAATGTTTTTGATAGATAAATAGCCTGATAATTAATTTCAGTTATTTATCCAAATATTAATTTTATTAAAATAAATGTAAAATATAAGAAAAATAAGAAGGCTTTCTTACCATTTTTCAACTATTTATTCACTTGACGTTTCAGATTAATTACACATTTTCAAAAGCTTATACTGTTTATATTCCTTTAGATTATTGTTCTTTTTAGAAACATTTGAAACATTACATTATTCATTACATTGGTTTATTATTTTCAATAATGAATTATTGTAATCGTCCAAAAAATTCAAAAGTTTAGACCCCCTCCTACATCAATATTACTATCCGCCCTTTCGTTTCAAGATGGCGACCGAAAAAACTGTGTTGCTATAGACTTTTCAATATAACTTGGCTAAAGTCTTCTCGAAGCCCTTTAAATTTATCTAAATAACATATTTCAAGGAAAAGAAGCTGGAAAAAAGTTAGGAGGGATAGTAATAGTATATTTCCGAATAACTCAAAAAATGTACACTTTTTTGTTGATATTGTATATAGATGTTTAAAGGTTAACGGATTTAAAAAAAAAATCTCCAGAATCTTTTGGACGTAGCAGTCCATCGGAAAAGATATTTTCCGTATACACAGACACGCACTGACAGACCAATTAATGTTTTTTTTGTTTTAGACTAAGGGAGTTTTGAAGTACAAAAGTTCTATTGAATACCGAACATCGAAAATTTGTCTCTAGCACAATACTTTCCTTACCTAGTAGCGGTAGGAAAATAATAAACGCTTTTAGTAAATTATTGAAAGAATCCATACATGACTATAAACCTTTCGAATTTTGTTTAATTAAAAGTTTGAATATGAGCGTAAGGTTTTTATAATTGTTTAAAATATTTGATTGAATGCTGTTCTATGAGCCTTTCGAATTTTGTTGAATTTAAATTTTAAATATGAGTATAAGAGTTTTATATTTTAACAAAATCCTTTATTGCATTTTGTCTCAATTAAAGACCTTGGTAATAGCAATGAAAAATCACATTTACATGCCATAGGTTTTATAAAATACAAGTAAACTTCAGTAACGGAGTTGAAAATTAAAAACTGGGTTAATGAAATGGTTAGCTGACAGTTAATGAAAAACTTTGCAACTAATATTTGTCTATATTTAGTTGTTTTTTTTTATAAATTATTTAAAATTTTCAAATTTCTGATGAAAAAAACAGCAACATATTCCCATTACTCCCTAACATCAATTAAACTCACTAATAGTGAAGCCATGACTTTATTATCCTTTAAGTCATTGGGGCATTAAATAAACTGATTAAGCCAAATGCTGGAATAATTGAATCGTAGATAACGACAGCGGGTGCAGCCCCCTTCCAGACAAGATCAGAGTAGCTATTTATGACATAATCCAACCTACTCCCAGGTTCTAGCCTATATACTGTCAATATTAGACTTTGATGTATTAATTCGATTCTTTTAATTTATTGCGAAAAATCAATACTTGAATACATGTATTTTGACCTTGGTTGAAGAGTTGTAGAGTTTATCGGTCAGTTTCATAATAAATGCCAATTAAGGTAGAGATGTAGGTTTTTTTTAATGTCGTATGCAGCGGAATTTGCAATATCTGTCTCCCTTTCTATATCTATATATATACATTTTTTTTTCTACAGAAAATGTTTTAATTAAGTCAAATTTTCGATGTGAAGTTTTAAATAGATCTTTATTTTTCGAAATCACCCAAAAACCGTGTTTTCGAGCACTAGTTTAGATTATCTATTGAAAAGATAGACCGATTTATTTGGTTCTTTTTATTTTTTTTAGAGGTTAGGCCACTGATGTCTATAAGCCAAATCAGGCGAATTTGTTTGAGCTATAACACCAAAAAGGCTCTAACTATTTTATTAAAACCTGTCTGTCTTTTTCACTTTTTATGTTTTAATTGTTTGTTTCTTACAAAAAATAGGACTGTTGTAGCTGCTACCTCTTCACATGCTTCACATGTCTTTCAATGTGCGCATGGTGTTGTCCTTGTTATGAGTAAATCGTCCGCAAATACGAGGTGTTGTGTCTCACTGTAATAAATCCACCCGTCAGACCTCTTTCGCTTCGTCCTAATAATTATTTACTAATTATTCGTGTTATCTAACACTGCGGTAAAGAACCCCCTCCTTGTTTCACTTCATTTTGTGTGGCGAATCCCGCGGACAATTCTCCTTGAGTCCTGACTTCGCCCCTGCAAATTGTAAGGTAATTTTTATAATCCTTATGAATTTTAGGAGACACCCTATGGTTCACGGGTTAAGAGCTCGTTTCTTTTGACGCTGCCAGAAGCATGTCTGTAGTCTATGAAAAAGCGGTGCAGGTTGACGCCTTATCCATGGCACTTTTTCAACATGATCCTGTGGGTGAAATAAAAAAAACGATCTTCCAGGTCGGAATCCAAACTGATAATTGCCAATTACTTTTTCTGCCATTACCATTACTTTTTTTTAATAGCAGATTGGCTAGTACCATGTAAATTGTGCTCAGTAATGTTATTCCTCGTTAACTATGGCTTCAGTTTATCGCCCTTTTTATGTATAGGTATAGTGGCTTTATACTATTCTTCGGGCATTTGTTACTTTTTGCATATTTCTAAGATAAATTGATAGATCCCCTGGTTCAATATATCCTCCCCACATTTAAGCATCTCGGCAATAATACTATCAATTCCTAGGGCTTTGTTATTTTTTAGGTTTAAGATAACTTCCTTCATCTCTTCTTTTTGTGGAGGTTCTAGATCTGTATCCGCTTATGCTCTACCGTGCCCGTTAACTAAAGAAATTTCTTCGGGGTCGTGGTTAAATAGTTCAATGAAATAGCTTCCCTATTTTTCAATTATTTTCTTCTGTCTGCCCAGTTGTGAGCTATCCTTGTCTTTACAGTTACTTGCTCTGGGGTGGAATCCCTTCCTCAATGATTTCATTTTATTAAAGAAGCCTCGATAAAGATAAAATAATAATAGTGCGTTTTATTTCGGTTACAAAATAAAATCTATAATAACAATACGCCAATACTAAAGTCTAAGATTAAGATATTTGTGATATAATTGTTGGCGTTAGATAAGGGTATAGTAGAAGCATTAAGCAATGTGCTATTTGCCCGTCTGCCAGGTTGGCCATTTTTACATTTTAATTACAAATAACAATATAATATTATAAGATTCGCTTCTAATAATTCAAGACCAAAATTATACATGAATATTATGTGAATATCTACATAATTCCCATTTTCTGAATACCAACCTCATATAAAATCCGAATACATTTAATACAATAACAATATAGCAATATAAATAATAACAAATAGCAATATAAAAACAATAAATATAATTAATATTAATAATAAAATAATTGTAATAAATATAAATAAAAGTTAATAAATATAAATAAAAATAAATAGCCGCAAGTTCTGTTTGTAAATGCACACAAATTAATAGTTGAATTCAATTATTTTTTTATTTTAGATTTAAATACAATAGTCGTGTATTTGTATAAAATACCTCAGTCCTTGCCATTAAGATAATCCATTACCTCAGAGCTATTAAGTAATGTTTTTCTTAAATAGATATTTCGAAATTGTTTTAGTATGTACCAATGAAATGTATTGTATCTTCAACTTCTTTTAAATTACACATACAGCAGATCAGTTGATCTTCAGATTTCTCAATGGAATAATTTAATCCTGTGTTCAGTTCGTCTAATTATGGTATTCATAATATGTTTTTTTTTAACCTCCCTCTCCCTCTTCCTCTCCTAGTCCCACCGAAGTCCATGCTTAAAATTTCATGTTCCGCCGAATAACTTACAATAGCTAGATACCGAATTATAAACATTCGATAAAGATATATGGTGAGCTGCGATGTGTAATTTTGAAGCTATAATTCTTAAATCATAAGTAAAATGTAATCATCTAAATTATCATTCATTGCAATAATATCGAGTTTGTACAGTCTATTGAATGTTCACATAAATATCGCTAATATATTAATTACATTAGTGATTCATAATTATTAGTTACGTTAGTTCATTGAATTTTTAATTAAATATTGAGTCCATTCGGCTCATGAAAAAATATCCAGGGATACATACAGTTCTAGGATTGCTAACGAAGGTTTTCTATTGTTATAGACGATTTAGAGTTGCACAAGATAATTAGTGTATTTTCAGAATGAAATTGCTACCTAAAATTCTCGAGACCCACATTTTTACTCCAAGAATTTTTTTTCCTGTTTAGAAGTTATGATTTAATAGTGGTTCAACATAACTTCAGACAACTTCGATAAAGTGACAAACTTAATATTTTTTTTTCAACTAAACCGCTCATTAACATGATGATGGTGTTAGTCAATCTTGCTTTTTAAGATACTGATTGTTTTGTAAATGCACTAACTCTGATCATATATATCATACAAATTTTATCTAAGAATATAGAATATAACTCTCCGACATGGGTCACATATCACATCTTATGTCATATATCACAAAAGTAAGTTCACAAAACATTCACTTTCTGCAAAAAGCATAACTGACTTACTTTAATATTATTAGAACCCCCTCTTCGATAGTATAGATTTTTGCTTATTCGTTGCCTACGATTAGACAGGTTTGAAATTCCAAATTGAAAATTTCAGATCGCAGTTCTAAATATTTTATTCAAGTAACAAATTCGGTTCCGAATCTGTGTGCCTGTAATCAAATATATGTTTTCCATTAATTGCTACTTTCAATCTAATTTTGATGACATTTTCAGAGTCACGTATATCAAATGCCATTCCCTAATTTCTCTTATGCATGGGCAAGTATATTTTCTTAGACAGTCACATATGTTATTAAGGTTAAAATCGAGTAAATTATGAAATAATATTTACAAAATATCTAGCAGATATTATTCACACAAACATGTAAATATTTTCCTATTAGGTAATGTTTTTTCTTAAATTTCTAAGTTTTGTAAGCTTTATGGTTTAAGATTCCTATTCAGTTCGAAGAATGTTCATTTATTTTTTTCCTGTTTAACGATGTTAATGCTCTTCAAATACTATTGTACATAGTACATAATTTTTAATACATGGCTTAAGATCTTTTCAAGATCTAAAAATTGATTTTTAAGATCAGTCCCTTGGAAAATTAAAATCTTCAGATCCGGGCTCGAGTTATAATGTTATCGTGTTAAATGTAATATATAGGCTATAGCTTTGTATTAGTAGCGGAGCCAGGATTTTATTTTTCAATAATTATAATTACTTTGGAAGAAAAAGAAACAAAAACTAAATCTTTGAAATTATGTTCCATTCTTAAGTGGATCTTAAGTCAAAAAAAAAAAAAAAAAAAGAATTTAATTGCTAAGAACAATAGTGCTTTTAGGAATAAAGTTCTTATATTTTTCCTTGATTTATGTGCTTACGTTAATATCCATTGTAATTTTAAAAGATAAAAAATTGCTCCAGTGTCCAACATTAATCCTAAATACTGTTTCTCGGATCAGCCTTTTGAGTATTTAATGAATTTTTTTTATGTTCTAAAAATCCTTTGAATCACGGTTATTAAAATAGTAAGGAACTTACGAAAATGGCAAGAAGAAGCGCTGAGAGGCGAGACATGACTGAAGGTACAGAAGGTGCGAGTTGAAGCTATATAGCTCCTGGTGGGCGAGGCCAAGTCCCGGTTCCCACCTTCACGGTACCTTCCTCTGGAGGTCGCGAGGAAGTCCTGTCTTCTGCTTCTGTCAGTGAAGACATCTTGCCGGAAGTGCCTGCTAGATATCAAGTGGTTACCCATTAATGGCACGACATCTTTATGAACCATGTAATAATAGTTGCTGATGTAACTATAATTTCATAATTTAAATTCAAAAAATATTATTTTCTTGAGGGATGTGTTAAAAATCCAGCTCTAGCGTAAGATAAGTAAAACAAAATATATATACATACATTACATCATGTCATAATGATGAATTATATGTTTGTGGTTGCAGTAACCTTACACATGACATACTAGTGGTTTGAATGCTATTTAGAAAATTGAAATCCATTTTTTACAGTATGATCTCGAAATCTCATAAAAACCTAAATAAGATATAAATGAAAAACTAGATTAAAATCATTAAAAGTACAAGTAAAACAAAATCTAATTTATCTACAAAAGGAAACTGTATATATACACACTCACACAGCACACACTCACATATATAGATACATATACACATACATACTATAAATACAATTTATTAATTGGGATAATTGAGTTTATTGTTACTTGTTTGTTGATAGATAAGAATCCATTAAATTTTCATAAATAAACAGATTGATATAGACGTTTAATAGTATGTGTTTAGTCCGTCTGTGTGTATACCGTTTCAAAGATGTCTTTTCATAGTTTCCTATTGTTCCTATTGTTGTTTTTAGACGATGGTGTTAGCTCGAAAAATATCTGAGTTTTAAAATAAATATATTGTTTTATAGTGGCAAGCTGTAACTCTGATAGTATAATAGATATTTTGATATTATGATTCTCATACACATATTTTGAATCACTTCGATTTTTTTGTAATTAGTCTCGCATGTGTAACTCATCCATAATGGAGCAGAATAAGTGATTAGAGGGCGGATTACTGGTTTATATAAAAACAGTTTATTTTTTTAATTCAATTGTGAATATTTAATAAAATATGGTGACATTTTGCTGTTCATGTTTTTTGCTTTATTGCACTTGTAATTAATATGTTGGGTGAAATGTAGGGACCTATCAAGTTCTAGGCCTAAATATTTCACGGAATTAGACCTAGGGATCTGTATTTATTTTATGTTTATATTATGGTTTATGCGTGGTCTTCTTTTTGTAAAAATAATTGCTTCAGTTTTTTTATCATTTATTTTTATTTTCCATTTTTCAAAATACTTGCAGAGTTTTATGAATTGGGATTGTAATCTGGTAGTTCTAGTGTCGATTCTAAAAGAATCTGCATATAAGGAGTATTCTACTGAAGGAATGGGAGGGAGGTCTGAGATGTATAGACTGAATGGTGTAGGAGAAAGACAGGATCCTTGAGGGAGACCTGCAGATAGGAAATGGATTGAGGGGCATTCTTTATTGAAATGCAAAAGAATCTATTGTAGAGATATAAAGGTGGATTATGTAAGGTGAGAATTTATGTAAAATGAGTAAAACAAAATATTTTTAATTTTTTTATAGTAAAACAACAATACAATCTGCCACAATCTGACAAGATGTATTGTGGCTCTTTGTGAAGAGACCGCAATAATTCTCTATATTTTATCGTTGCTATTGTATTTTTATTTTTCACAGAATACACTCACACGCATACAAACATACAACCTAATTCTATTAATTTCCAAACTGTCGTTACTTAATTAATTAAATTAATTTACTAATTCTAGCATTATATTAATAAATATCGCACAAATTCGTTTGGAGAACGAAACTACGTCACAGAGGCCGCGGTTTCCCTCCTATGGTTTATACCTATCAACACTGGGGACCACAGAAAACATCACTGCTTGTCCAAAGTGCGCGATTACGCGGAGCAGACGCTATTCAAAATCACGATTTTGGGAGCGAAATTTCGCACAATTATAAGCAGATTTTCATTAACACCTATCTAAACTAGGTAGACTGGGGTGGTTAAACATCTTCTTTTAATCCAAAGTGAAATCCATTATAAATAAGTCAACAAATATTTCCATTTTAAAAGAAATCAAGAAAGAAATTATAGTTATGTTTTTGAGCAGCTTCGAAATACTTTATATGTATTTAAATAGATCTAATATATGCTTTGCTTCCGCTTCAATAAATCTGACTTGAGAGCAAACAATTAATGCTGAAGCTACAATGAAGTTGAGAGAAATCTTGTCATTTACGATTTAAATTTAATCTTTTAAATCTTATCTGATCTGTTTTCACTATTCGCCGCAACGCGACAATCGGGTATAACAGATTTTACACAAAACAATGAAGTTGAGAGGTATCCCATTATTTACGAAATGGATATCAGCACTCCAAATGAGGACATTGACCAATAGTCAACGGATCGAATCAGCTAGTGATGACCATGGAAGAAGAATGGGAAAGAGACGAGATGTTTCACGTTTTATCCAAAGTTTTAGATATTTAAAAGTTACCAAGAAATAATATCTAAAAAAAATTTTCATCTGCCCTCACACACCGTTAATAGCTTTGAAATATTCTCAAATGGTATGCCTTGTTTAAATCAGATCTAATTTGTTGTTTGATAAAGCGCCCGTGTAAGCTAAAAATTCCAGTCTTTTCACTTTGAAATTGAAACATACTTATTATTTCATAGTGCTGGAAGCTCTTGAAATATCGGGAGTTATCTTCAATCTTCAATAATGAAATTCTATGAACAGTCCTTGAAAAAAATATTAAAGCTCTTAAAAGATGTGGTAAGCGAAGGGATAAGATTTCATATACTGCAAGGAAGCAACAACGAAAGTGAACAAGTTTTGTGAAACATTATTTTAGAGGTTAATTAAAAAAAAGGAAACGTATTAAAAGGTCACCATGGGATGCACACTTCCCATGTTTTCCACCTTACAAATGAACAAAAATGACTAAAGATTCTCTCCGTGACGCAGAGGCAATAAACCTGATCTTCCATATTTATCAGCCTTTTATGATAAATAGATATTGTTAGGAGATCATAAAATCAAATGGTTTTGCAGGAAAGATCTTCTTGAAGAAATTTCAAATATAATTTGTAATAGGATGATTATGAATCAGAAACCGATGATAACGAAGGCAGTGATATTTTCTCTTTTTTTCCGATGAAGATTGATAATGATAATAATTTCTACCGATTGGTGACTTAATATTTATTTTTTAACAGTTTGACTACTCATGCAGTGTTGATATTTTTTGCTTCCTCACTACCGAAACTAGGGAAGCATTGTATTCGTGCGAGAGGTTAAAAAAAAATTGTGTGCTCAGAATCGAAAATTTCCACTCGCGTTTTACGTTTCAGACATCCAGGTTCAAATTTGGTTCGGTGTCTATCTGTAGTCAAATCGATGTAACGGACATATCACCTACTATCGTTTATTTGATTTTCATGAAATTTTTAGGAATTGAACGGGTTGGTGTCTAGATGGTCCCATATAAATTTTATTAAATTCTAACCAGCACTTCCGCTTACTCACGTTCAAACGCATTTTCGTAGATATGCCAATATTTCAGAAACGGCTAGTTCGATTTGGCTCAAACTTGGAGGGAATTTAGGAATTGGTCAACTTAAAATGAAATAGGCATCAATTTTATCAAATTCTATCTAATAATAAAAAAGAATTTCCGCTTTCAGATCAGGAAATGTTTATTTGAAATGCATATAGCTTGAAAACGGCGCGTTCGATTTGACCCAAACTTGGAGGAAATTTGGAGAACAGTACTTAGTATCAATTTCCTTAATTTACGTTTAATAATTAAAATTGAAGTAAATAATTGTTACCAATATAATGGCTGTGAAATGTGGAAGGCATTGATTATCTGAAGTGGGAGTTAGGTTAACACAATAGTTTTATGGGGTTATAAAATTTTAGGTTTTATTCAAAACGTTATTTCATTCTGTATTGTTTGGTCGATTCCAAATGTTACTGGCATGACACTTATTACCGTTACATAGATTTGTGTAATTTTAATTAATTAAATAGTGTAATTTTTTTAGGGTTTGTATAATAAAAAGTCTTATTTGGGATTTTGTTTATTACAATGGAAGTTCTACTAGCTCGTCGTGGTCTCGATTTCATCCTTAAATATTAAAGTTGTGTAGACTTCACACATATTTTTATATTACAATTAATTCTAAATAAACAAAAGTTCAATTTTTCGTATTTTTCCTATTCCTATTATTCCTAAGTTTCTAAATAATTATCCCTATATATCACTACTGTTAGTGCTAGTGTTGCCCAAATGCGAGACCGAGACGAGTCTTGGTCTTGCAAACTCAGTCTTGGTCATGGTCTTGGTCTTGCGCAAGAGTCTTGCAGTTACTTATTAGTTTATTACTACAGATATATCACTGTAATTTTTTAGATAGGAGAAACCTAACTAAGGCTGAATGAAAAATTAGAGGACTTGAATGCAAAAGAATATTGGTTAAAGCAATTATTAACATATAGCAACTAAGATTGTCTAGTATTAGTAACTATTTTGCCTTAATTTTTATTTAAACAATTGATTTTTTTTACCAGTCCTGGTCTTGGTCTTGCAACAGTTAGGCGGCCTTGGTCTTGGTCTTGCACTTAGCAACACTAGTTAGTGCAAAAGGTCTTATTTTCAACTTTTGTTCTATTTGTGCTAAATGTGACATTTTATAGTCTGCAACTGATATAAGCAGTCTGCTACGATGGAAAATAGCAGAGGGCAATAAAATATCAAATAATATACCGATAAATCCTAAAGAAACCATTAATTCTTATGCTCTTCTGTAAAACATTCAATTTTTACATACAGTCTTTTGTACTAACAGTAGTGTTATTAATGGTCAGTATGCACTGGAATTTTGTAAAAAATCATCAAATATGCTATCTGCAAATGCAGAACTTTTTCGCATTTTAGTATTTGCTGATGAACAAAACTCGTAGA